TTTTCAAACATAAATGCATTTTAGGAAGCTGGTTTTCATAGTAATTTCTTTACTGGGACTTTACTGGGACTCACACTCCAGTGCACAATAGGGGTAAAGCATGGAACTGAGCCTGGGGAGATAGTGATTCAAACCCCCGTTCACCATCAAACTAACTGGCCAGTCATTCTCTCTTAGCCTTTATCACCTCTAAGGGTTGCTGTGAAGATAAAAATGGAAGAGTCTAGTAGTACAAAGGAGTATCTTTCCCCCAGGGTATAAGCTTTTGTGAGCTTGTCCAGGGCACTGGGTTAAAGCATCAAAAAAGGGGGTCCATCCACAGACACTCAGGGAGGGAAGGAGTCCTTATTTTGAACGGAAACCTTTTGTGCACAGAAGGGAGCCTTGCATAAGAGAAAGGGTACCTGGCTGGATCCAACGCAGGAAAGGAGAGGAAGTTGCTTCGTGGCATGCTGGGGGAGCCTCATCCCGCAGTGCAGGCTGGGCTGGGCAGCGAGGGCGGCTGCTCTCTCCCTCCCTGAAAACCGAAGGGGCGCCCAGGATGCCCAGTTGATTTTTAAGGGGGAGGGGTGATATTAATCCCAAATTTTCGGCTCTCCCCCCCATGTAGGCACCTAACCAACCACCACGGCTGCTTGAAACTGGATGTGGGAGGTGAAAGAGGCGGGCACAGAAAAAAAAAAAACCTTTCAGGAGTTGTCCGGAGTTTCTCTCTCTCTCTCACACACACACACCACCAAGAGGCAGGCACTGGGCCCCAGGAGGGGGACCCAAGGTCTGCCCTAATCATATTTTTACTGCTTCCTCCCTCACTCACTGTCACTGGGCTGGGGATCAGGAGACAGCTCCTTTGGGGGGGGGACTGGACAAGTGCAGGAAAGACGGGGGGGGGGCGAGGACGAGGAGGAGGAGAGGAAAAGAGGGGGAGGCAGAAGAGTCCCTCGAGGAGGAACTTCCCCCCTGCCGCCGGCTGCTGCCACTGCCTCCTTCCCTCAGTCTGGGAGCGAAGAGCGAGAGGGAGGCGAGAGGAGGGAGACCCTTTACCGTCTTGCAAGCTCTGGGGCAGATTGCCTGGGCTTGCGAGCACATCTGAGTCCTCTTCCGGCAGGCAGGCGGGCCCAGCTGCGCACTCGCGAGCCAGGGAGGGGGGAGCCAGGGAATGAAGTGCCTGATGGGGCAGGACATCATGCGATGCAGTCAACTTGAGAGCAGGACTTTTGACGTGTATGTGTTTAAATGCTGGCCCCTCTCCCCCCCCCAGTCCTTTGGTGACAAATGTTGTGTGGAGTTAACGATGGGCACGCATGGCACTGGCACGGGGCAGCAAGGGTGCGACGCGGCCGTGACTTGAGAGCAGGGCTTTTGGTGGGGGGAGGGTGGCAGGGCAGTTCAGTGCCCTCCTCCAGGGGCCCAACCTGGGCGAAAGTCTAGTTTGCCTAGCGGGTAAGCCAGCCCTGCTCAGAAGTGGCATAAAATTCCAAACTAAGAGGAATTCTTCACATCATCTGTAAACATGAACTTAAAGAGAAAATTCACACATTGCAAAGTCCACCGGGGTCCTGTCACTCATACATACTCTGGGAATTCCATGCTCAAATTCCCAGGCACGTATGGGCCTGATTTCAATCAGGGCTGAGTGTGCGGAAGGACAGAAGTGACCCCACACACACAGTAGAGACCCCACACACACACAGTGCACACCACAGTGACCCCACACACACACAGTAGAGACCCACACACACACACAGTGCACACCATTTCCCCAGCCTGAAATTAGCCTGGAGAGCTGCTATTTGTCCTGTTACCAAATCTCATGTGCAGCGATCAACAGGGTAGATAGTGGCTCCTCTGGGCCATTTCAGGTCATGAATACAGGGCAAGGGGGAAGCATTAAGTCTCCTTTTGCCACATGCAATTTTCCCAGTTGAAATTGGGCCCGTTGCACCCCTGGGAATTTTCTGGGTATGGAACTCCCAGAGTATGTTTGAGCAATAGAACTTGAGTGGACACATGGGGGCAGGGCTTTTTTTAAAAAAAGGTGGTGCAAGAACTCTCAAGAAGGAAATGACATTTTCAATCTGTATACTGAAAACTCATGAACTTTTAAACATTTTTAAAAGAATTCTGTCAAAGAGTTTCCGTAACTCTGTTCCGGCACATTCCTCCCCCCCCAAAAAAAAAGCCGTGCATGGGGGACATGAAAATTTTGTAATGTGTGAATTGGCCCTGAAATCACTTGGGCATTGTAAAGCTCAGGAAGGTTGAGATGTGCTTGTAAATCAACCTTCCTGCACAGCCATCAATCATGGTACAAGTACCTGTAGAACTACCTTGCAAATTGTTTTTAAGTGGCATGAAGCTGACCTTAGAAATAAAGGCTGGGAGAGGAAGAAAGTGGTACGGAACCGGGCTGCTGTGTAGAGATCAGGTGGATAATAAGCAGTATCCACAAAGGGATTTTTTTTCAAAACCTGAATTTTGTTTCATTTACAGCAAAGCGAGTTGCCCCACCGCGACCCACGGTGCCTCCACCCTTAGCCCAGCCTCGAACTCCACCTCCTGTGCAGCGTCAGAGCCAACCTCCTGCCTCAGAGCCTCCTCCCATCCCTAAAGCCCTCCCTCGAAAAACAGCCGGAGGCTTAGCGCGCGCTCCATCCATACCACCACCCCTTCCGCCACAGCCGTCCAGGCGTCTGAGTCGCAATGCTTCACCATCCCCAAAGACTCCTTCGGAACCTGTGAGCAATGAGGCGGCAGCAACAGCAGCTGAAGAACCTCCAGCTGATGACTGCAGTGCAGAAACATCTGAAGGTTCCACGCCTCTGGCAACAGGACATGATGAGCCAACATCTGTGGGAGAAAATGGCTCTCCATCAGCATCTGATCAGAAGGTCCAGGCACTGGAGAATGACTGAGGCAGAGAAGCAGCTACACGGCATCATTTCTGCCAGCCAGTTTCTAAGGAAGGAGAAAGAGTAGCATTTGAGGCAACAATGTACATCAAACAAAGCTAGCAGTTCCTGGTGGGAAACACATGTGCCATATTAACTCCTCTCACTGTACTGCATTGGAAGCCACTGCTCATGCCTGCAGCCTCAAAAGCAGTCTTCTCTTCCATGTGCCTCCCTTTCTCATCCTTTTTTCCTGCTTTCCTATCCCTATGCCTTCTCTTTTTCAAAATTCCATCCTTCTCCCCATATCGATCCTTCTTTCCCTGCTCTCCCCCTCCCCAAGCTACAAAGCCAATTGTATACATTCCATAGAATGAGATGGTAGAATTCTGAAATTCCTTTTTTGAATGCCCACCAACCTGCATTAAAAATTCCCTGCATCTAGTAAACCAGCACAGGTTTAGAGTAGCCATGCTTCTGATGTGGTATTATTGAATGTTCCCTGCATGTAGAAAACTACCCACTCCTCTCCCACTGGCAGCCTGCAGCCCAGGCCAGAATTATATTGCTTCAGTCTATCGCCTCATTCTGCATAATGTGTGGATGAGCATCTACCTATTCTCTTTCTAGTTATCCATAACGATATATTAATTCAAATGATCTCAGGGATTATTTTGGGTTTTAAAGGATAAGGCATTACAAAACTGTTAAGAGACCAGCACTCCCTTTGCCAAGCAGCTCTGCAAATCCAGATTGTGGCAAATCTTTCAAGGAGGAGTCTAGTAAAAATTAAGGTGTTGTCCAGCAGGACTGCTGGATGCAGACCTTGCAAACAGTTGCACAGAAAATTCTGCCATTTGTGACCTTCTCTATTATAAATCCTGCAGTGACAGCAGACACTGCCCTTAGTAGTATTTTCCCTCTTATCAACTCTGAAAGGCACAGGAGTCCTCTAGAGATCTGTACCTGGCAACCTTAAATACAGTGTACGGATTTTTTTGTATGCAGAACACAGACATGGGGCTTGTACCTCACTTAATTTCTTTACAGGTGATTACTGGCAGTTGAATGTGTGAACTGAGCAGCTTGTTTGTGGGATGATTTGGACCTCACAGACACTACAGTCACACATGCAAGTTAGGATGTACACGTAAACCGGCTCCATGTTAGATGGAAGATGGATAGTGGGTCTTTCCTCTGAATGCAAAACTATAATCCTTATGTTATGGATCACTTCTACTACAGGCACATGTGCCTGACAAGTTTCAAAATATTAAGCTATCATTACTTCTCCAAGAAAAACTTGGTTATAGTTTTGTAAATGCTGAGAATACTTTGTGAAAAATGCCTGGCCCATTCAAAGGAATATGCATCCTAGGATTTGGGGGAAGGGAATATGCATGGCAATTAACTACTTATATTTGCAATGCAGATGCCTTAAGAATCTCTTTACATTAGTTTCCTTAGGCTTTGGCAGAGGGTGGAAATGACTTATTTTTATACGTAATTGATAAATTATTTTTTAAAAGTGGGGTCATATTTATGACTAATGTGAGGAGGTTTCTTCATTTTTAAAGAATGTCTCTCTTTTGCTTGTAGCAAGGATAAATTTAGCTCTTGGATTGTTCTTGAGAGAACTGTGTAAAAAGATAGAGCCTTGTGACAAATACATTGTGGCATAACCTTTCATGAACTAGAGCCTATTTCATTAAATGCAGTTTATTAGATGCTGTTTTTTAGCTTCATGATTTGGAAAAATCTTTCTCTTTTAGTACAATATCAGGTTTCTGAATCAAGGGCCAAGCACAAAGACGGGTCTGGGTAAAAGTCGGATCTACACGGATGCTCATGAATTCATATGATTTTTAAATTGAAAGGAAATAAAACCACCATCATACTGTAGGCCATGTGTTACTTTATAGGGGGCACCACAAAAACCACACATCCACAGATTCATGGCACCACAAAAGCGCAAAAACATGATTCCAAAGCACGAATCCTCATGAATTCATATGATTTTTATGCTGAAACAAAATAAAACCACCAGCATTCTGAAGACCACGTCTTAGACTATAGGCAGCACTACAAAAATCATGCTTCCACGAATTCGTGGCACCACAAAAGTGAAAAAACATAGTTCCAAAGCACAGATCCTCATCGATACTCAGCGTTTTTCAATTGGGTCACTCCAGCATCACCATCAAATCACATATCATGTCCATGTCCACAGCTTGCACCACAGAAATCATGAGTCCACGGCTTGGTGGCAACTTCATGCTGCAAAAAAAAGGGTTCTGAACCATGGTCACTTATGGATCCTCAGGGATTTTGTGCTGGGTCACCCCAGACTCACCATGGAATCATATATGATGTCCATGGCCACAGTAATCACCACAAAAATCACAGATCCATGGTTTTGTGGCAACATCATGCTCCAAAAACATGATTCCGAAGCACAGATCCTCATGGAGCCTAATGAATTTTGTATTAGGTCTCCCCAACATCACCATCAAATCACATATCTTGTCCATGGCCACAGAATGCACCACAGAAATCATGTGTCCATGACTTCATGGAGACACCATGCTGCAAAAACATGCTTCTGGAGCATGCATCCTCATGGATACTTGTGGTTTTTGTTTTGGGATACCCCAAACATATTATTAAATCCCATATCATGTCCATGGCCACTACTTGCACCAAAGAATTCATGGATCCACGGCTTCGTGGAAACACCATGATGCAAAAACATGGTTCTAGAGCACGGATCCTCATGGATGCTTGGGTTTTTTTGTGTTGGGACACCCCAAACCTACCATAAAATCCCATATCATGTCCATGGCCACTACTTGCACCAAAGAATTCATGGATCCACGGCTTCGTGGAAACACCATGATGCAAAAACATGGTTCTAGAGCACGGATCCTCATACATGTTTGGGTTTTTTGTGTTGGGACACCCCAAACCTACCATAAAATCCCATATCATGTCCATGGCCACTACTTGCACCACAGAATTAATAGATCCACGGCTTCGTGGAAACACCATACTACAAAAACATGATTCTGAAGCACGGATCCTTATGGATCCTTATGATTTTTGCATTGTGTCACTCCAAACACACCATCTAATCACATAACATGTCCATGGCAGCAGCATGAACCACACAAATCATGGATCCACAGCTTTGTGGAAACACCATTCTGCCCAAACATGGTTCTTGAGCATGGATCCTCATGGATTTTTCAGTTGGGTAACCCAACATCACCATCAAATCACATATCACGCCCATGGGCACAGCTTACACTACAAAAGTCATGGATCCACAGCAGGCCCGTAGCCAAGATTTTGTAATTCGGGGGGCCTTTAAATAAGTCAGGGTGCACTGATGTCATAAATAAAATAAAATAAATTTAAAGCTCACTTTTGCAGTGTTCGCACTCTGCCTGCCTATGCAGAGAGGTAAGCTGTGCTTGGGGAAGGGGAGGCAGTGGGGAGTCCTCTGGGTAGCCCAGAGAGTTGGTAGACCTCTGGGTGGCCCAGAGACCTCAGAGGGATGGGGGATGGAAGTCGGGGGACCTCGGCAGGAAGTCGGGGGGCAGGCCCCGAAATGCCCCACTGTAGCTACAGGCCTGATCCACAGCTTCGTGGCAACACCATGATGCCAAAACATGTTTCTGAAGTACGGATCCTCATGGATCCACAGTGTTTTTGCAATGGGACACTCCAAACACAACATTGAATCACATAACATATCCATGTCAACAGCTTGCACCACAAAAATCATGGATCCACAGCTTTGTGGCAACACCATTCTGCAAAAACATGGTTCTAGAGCACGGATCCTCATGGATGCTTGGGGTTTTTGTGTTGGGACACCCCAAACCTACCATAAAATCACCATTCTGCAAAAACGTGGTTCTGGAGCACAGATCCTCATGGATCCTCAGGGTTTTTCAGTTGGGTAACCCAACATCATCATCAAATCACTTATCATGTCCACGGGCACAGCTTGAACCACAGAATTCATGGATCCATAGAAATTTCAGGTCTAAGGCTTTGTGGCTTTGTGGCAACACCACACAGCAAAAACTTGTTTCTGAAGCATGTATCCTCTGGAATTTTTCTTTCAATCACCCCAAGCTCACCATGAAATTACATATGTCCACATGCAAAGCTTGCACCCCAGAAATCTTGGATTCATGGTGACACCATGCGGCAAAAACATCGTTCTGAAGCACAGATCCTCATAGATCCTCAATGTTTTTGTGTTTGGTCACCATGAACTCACCATCAAATCACATATCATGTCCATCAGCACAAGTGACACTATAGAAATCAGAGATCCACTTCTTTGTGGCAATAACATAGAGGAAACCCTTGGTTCTGAACCACAGATCCTCATGGATCCTCTGAATCATCCTTTTGGGTCACCCCAGCATCACAATCAAATCACATATCATGTCCATGGGCAGAGCTTGCACCACAAAAATCATGGATCCATGGCTTTGTGGAGACACCATGCTGCAAAAACATGATTCCGAAGCACGGATCCTCATAGATCCTTGCTTTAGGTCACCCCATCATCACCATCAAATCCCATATCATGTCCATAGCCACAGCTTGCACCACAAAACTCACAGATCCTCAGCTTCATGGTGACACAATGCTTCAAAAACATGGTTCTGAAACACGGATCTTCATGGATCCTTGGGGTTTTGTGTTGGGTCACCCCCAACTCAACATCAAATCCCATATCATGTCCTTGTTTACACATTGCACCAAAAAATCACGAATCCATGTCTTCGCGGCAGCACTGTGCAGAAAAAACTTGTTTCTGAAGCATGGATCCTCATGATATTTGCTTTTCATCACCCTAGGTTCACCAGCAAACGGGTCATTACATAGAAAAAGAGGTGCAGGAGCTCATTAGCATAACTTATTTGCATATGCCACACACCCTGACATCACCGGAAGTGTGTCAGAAGGCTCCACTGGACCGTTTTGGATTGCTAGCAATTGGGGGGGGGGGAATGTGCAGATCTGTCCTTGCAGAGGAGGGAGATCTTGTACCTGAATAAACCTTGGTCTTAAAAGTGTGTGGGGGGAGCTCTGCAACTTACCTGGCTGCTTCTTGCTCTGACTGGGGGCTGCTGGGAGCAGGGGGTGGGGCTTGTTGCATGTGCCCACCCCCTGGGCTTTTTACTACCGAAGCTCTGCTCCTGTGCGCTCCTGCAGGAAATGACCCCTGCCAGCAAACCATATATCAAGGCTACAAGAAGAGGTTTCAACACAGAAATCACAAAGATACACAGCTTTGTGGAGACACCATGGAGTAAAAACATGGTTCAGAACCATCAAACCTCATGGATCCTCAGGGTTTTTGCTTTGGGTCATTCCAACATCAGCATCAAAGAACATATCATGTCCATGGGCAGAGCCAGCACCGCAGAAATTATACACCCACAGCTTCATGGTAATACCATGAAGCAAAAACATGGTTCAGAAGCACAGATCCTCATGGATCCTCAGTATGTTGTCCCAAAGCACGGTTTTACAAGATTTAATGTGGGGCACACCAAACTCATTATCTACTAAGTCATCACATTAGTGGCCACAGTTTGCACCACAGATGTTATGCCACAAAGCCGTGGATCCATGAATTTTGTGGTGCAAGCTGTGGCCATTGACATGATATGTGATTTGATGGTGAGTTTGGGTTGACCAACGCAAAAACCCTGAGAATCCACGAGGATCCATGCTTCGGAACTGTGTTTTTGAAGCATGATGTAACCACGAAGTTGTGGATCAGTGATATTTATGGTTCAAGCTGTGGCCATGAACATGATATGTGATTTGATGGTGAGTTTGGGGGGACCAAAGCAAAAACCCTGAGAATTCATGCAGATCCGTACTTCGGAACTGTTTTTTTGGAACATGGTGTTGCCATGAAGCTGTGGATCCGTGAGTTCTTTGGTGCAATCTATGGCCATGGCCACGATATGGAATTTAATGGTACATTTGGGGTGTCCCAGCACAAAACCCCCAAGCATCCATGAGGATCCGTGCTCCTGAACCTTGTTTTTGCAGAATGGTGTTGCCATGGAGCTGTGGATCCATGATCTTCGTGGCAAAATCTGTTGTCATGGTCATGATGTATGATTAGATGGTGTGTTTGAAGTGACCCAATGCAAAACGCCCAAACCTCCATGAGGATCCGTGCTTTGGAACCATGTTTTTGCTGCATGGTGTTGCCAAGAAGCTGTGGATCTGTGATTTCTGTGATTCAAACTGCGCCCATGGACATGATGTGTGATTTGATGGTGAATTCATGATGACCCAATACGAGAACACTGGGGATCCATGAGGATCTGTGCTTCAGAACTGTGTTCTTGCAGCAAGGATGTTGCCACGAAGCCACAGATCCATGAAATCTGTGGTGGAAGCTGTGGCCATCGACATGATATGGGATTTAATGTTAACTATGGGGTATCCCATCACAAAAAGCCCAGGTATCCATAAGGATCCATCCTCCAGAACCATGTTTTTGCAGAATGGTGTCACCATGAAGCTGTGGATCCGTGATTTTTGTGGTGCAAGCTGTTGCCATGGACATGTTATGTGATTTGAAGGTGTGCTTGGGGTGACACATTACAAAAAGCCCAAGGATCCATGAGGATCCATGCTTCAGAACCATGTTGTGGCTTTATGATATTGTCACGAAGCCCTGGACCCATGACTTTTGTGGTGCAAAATGTGCCCATGGACATGATATGTGATTTGATGGTGTGTTTGCGGTGATCCAATACAAAAATCCTGAGGATCCATCAGGATCCGTGCTTCAGAACCACGTTGTAGCTTCATGGTGTTGCCCCGAAGCTTTGGATCCATGACCTTTGTGGCGCAATCTGTGCCCATGGACATGATATGTCATTTGATGGTGAGTTCATGGTGAGCCAACGCAAAAACCTTGAGGATCCATGAGGGTCTTTAGTTCAGAACTCTTTTTTTGCAGCATGGTGTTGCCATGATGCTGTGGATCCATAATTCTTGTGGTGCAAGTTGTTGTCATGGACATGTTATTTGATTTGATGGTGTGTTTGGGGTGATCCATTGCAAAAATCCCGAGGATCCATTAGGATCCGTGCTTCAGAACCATGTTTTGGCTTCATGGTGTTGCTACGGAGTTGTGGATCCATGACTTTGGTGGTGCAAGTAGTGGCCATGGTCATGATATGTGATTTAATGGTAGGTTTGGGGTGTCCCAACACAAAACCCTGAAGGATCCATGAGGATACATGCTTCAGAACCATGTTTTTGCAGCATGGTATTGCCACGAAACCATGGATCCGTGATTTCTGTGGTACAAGCTGTGGCCATGGACAAGCTATGTGATTTCATGGTGTTTTTGGGCTGACCCTTTACAAACACCCTGAGGATCCATGAGGATCCGTGCTTCAGAGTCATGTAGTGGCTTCACGGTGTGGCCACGAGGCTGTGGATCCATGACTTTTGTGGGTCAAGCTGTTGCCATGGACATATTATATGATTTAATGGTAAGTTTGGGTTATCCCAACAGAAACCCCCCAGCCATCATGAGGAGCCGTGCTTCAGAACCAAGGTTTGGGCTGCATGGATTTGCCACGACTCTATGGATACATGATTTTTGTGGTTCTAGCTGATGATATGTGATCTGATGGTGTGTTCATGGTGACTGAAACCCTGAGGATCCATTAGGGTCCGTGTTCTAGAACCGTCTTTTTGCAGAATGGGGTTGCCATGAAGCTGTGGATCCATGATTTTTGTGGTTCTAGCTGATGATATGTGATCTGATGGTGTGTTCATGGTGACTGAAACCCTGAGGATCCATTAGGGTCCGTGTTCTAGAACCGTCTTTTTGCAGAATGGGGTTGCCATGAAGCTGTGGATCCATGATTTTTGTGGTACGAGCTGTTTCCATGGAAATGTTATGTGATTTGATGTTGTGTTTGGGGTGACCCATTGGAAAAAAGCCGAGGATCCATGAGGATTTGCGCTTCAGAACCATGTTGTGGCTTCATGGTCTTGCCACGAAGCCGTGAATCCATGACTTTTTTGGTGCAAGCTGTTACCATGGACATGATATTGATTTGACGGTGTGTTCATGGTGACTGAAACCCTGAGGATCCATTAGGGTCCGTGTTCTAGAACCGTCTTTTTGCAGAATGGGGTTGCCATGAAGCTGTGGATCCATGATTTTTGTGGTACGAGCTGTTTCCATGGAAATGTTATGTGATTTGATGTTGTGTTTGGGATGACCCAATGCAAAAACCCCGAGGATCCATGAGGATCCGTGCTTCAGAATCATTTTTTGCTGCATGGTGTTGCCACGAAGCTGTGGATTCATGACATTTGTGGTGCAACTGTGCCTATGGACATGATATGTGATTTGATGGTGAGTTCATGGTGACCCAACGCAAAAACCTTGAGGATCCATGAGGATCCGTGCTTTGGAACCATGTTTCAGCAGCATGGTATCGCCACAAAGCCATAGAGATGTGATTTCTGTGGTGAATTCTGTGGCCATGGACAAGGTATGTAATTTGATGGTGACGTTGGGGTGACGCAATGCAAAAATCATAAGGATCTGTGAGGATCCGTGCCTCGGAACCATGTTTTTGCAGCATGGTGTTGCCACAGAGTCGTGGCACCGTGGTATTTGTAGTGTAGGCTGTGGCCATGGACATATTATTTAATGGTATGTTTGGGGTTTCCCAGTACAAAAAACACCCAAGCATCCATAAGGATCCATGCTTCAGGATCATGTTTTTGCAGAATGGTGTCACCACGAAGCTGTGGATTCGTTATCTTTGTGGTGCAAGCTGTGGTCGTGTTATATGATGGTGTTTCTGGGGCAACCCAACTGAAAAACCCTGAGGATCCATGCTTTGGAACCATGTTTTTGCAGTTTTGTGCTACCACGAATTCGTAGGGGCATGATTTTTGTAGTGCTTCCTTTAGTCTAACACATGGCCTAAAATATGATGGTGGTCTTATTTCATTTCAATGTAAAAATCATATGAATTCATGAGGATCCATGTACATCCGACTTTTACCTTTCCCCCACAAGGACTAACTTCCTGAGCTTTACACTGCACATATGGCTTTGGTTCAGCTGAGTGGCCACCGCTGGACTCATAAGTGTTCTCAGAACTGCCTTGCTGCCTTTCCCATGTGCACTGAGAGCAGAAGAATGGCTGGAGGGATTCAGCTGGCACTTATGGATATGACAAATGAGTTTGGAGACATACGGCCAGTTCCTAATCAGGAGTGGGAAGGCTACAGGCCACGACATTATTTTGTCATACTTCAACTGTTCCAGCTTGGTCTCTTATGGGCCCAGTCCTGTTAAGCCCCACTGAAGGAGACCACCATGAGCTGCCTTCAGATACAAGCTGTGGGCAGAGAAGCGCCAAAGCAATATCCAACACGCTGTGGTGTTTGCATGTGTTCTATTCTACCAGCCTCTGAGAGAACCATGCACCCATTGGCTAAGCCACGCCACTTTTCTCATCCTGGAACCAGTATAGGCCGCAAAATTAATCACTCAATCTTCCCCCCGCCCAGGTTCGATTGTTTGTTTACCTCTTTTTTAAAAAATGCATTTGCCATTTTAGACCCGCCTCTATTTTTCTTCCCTATACGTAGATGTCCTTGTCGCGTTAGCCAATCTGCATAGTTGTGATTCCCGTTCGACGTATGTCATAGGCTACTTTCACCATCACTCTTTAATTTTTCTATTGGATACGTTTAAGACGGTTTGCTTAGGCCAGCTGCGATGTTTGTTTCTTCCTGTAACATCAGCTAATACAATAAAGGGGACCATGTTTTTAGTTCCGGCATACTTCCCTCCCGCCCGGCCACCGCCCCAGAAAGTCCAATGGGCGTGTTACAATAGGCCGTAAGAGGGACGCAGTCCTTTCCCCTTCGCTACGGTAACGGGTCGTCATGGCAACCCAATCCTGCCTTGGATCCTCATGGGCCAGTAAGAAATGTCTCCTCCTTCACACCCACCAATCATAACAATTCCCGGAGCCTATCTAGACGCTCCGGCTTGGACCCTCCCTTTTCGGCCCAGACGCGTGGGCACGTTCGGCCGCCGCGCACTTCGATTGGTCCCCGGCTGCCCTGCCTCTTGCGCTTTTCTTCTGTCCGTCACGGGGGTGGCGGGGCTGTGATTGGCTGCGTTGTTTTCGCTGGGGGAGGGGGTGGCGACGGCGGTTGCGGTCCCAGCATGGCGGGCTGCAGGCGGCTGAGCGGCTCGAGCCTGCGCGAGGTGCTGGGGGAGGCGGAGGGGGTGCTCTTCGACTGCGACGGGGTCCTGTGGACCGGAGAGCGCGCGGTGCCCGGCGCGGCGGAGCTGCTGGAGCGCCTGAGCCGCCACGGGAAGGCCACCCTCTTCGTCTCCAACAACAGCCGCCGCTCGGTGGCCGAGCTGGAGCGCCGCTTCTCCCGCCTGGGCTTCCGCGGGGTCCGAAGCGAGCAGGTCTTCAGCTCCGCGCTCTGCTCCGCGCTCTTCCTGCGACAGCGTCTCCTCCTCGGGGGCGAAGCCGGTGCCGCCGGGGACCCCTCCGCCTCGGCCCCCGGCCCCGTCTTCGTGCTGGGCGGCGAAGGGCTCCGCGGGGAGCTGCGCGATGCGGGGCTGCGCCTGGTCGGGGAGGAAGAGGAGCCGCAGGAGCAGGCCCCGGTGTGCGCTGTCGTCGTCGGCTACGACGACCAGTTCACCTTCGCCAAGCTCTCCGAGGCCTGCGCCTACCTGCGCGACCCGCAGTGCCTGCTCGTGGCCACCGACCCGGACCCCTGGCACCCGCTGAGCGATGGGCAGCGCACTCCCGGTGAGTGAGCAGCTGGCAGAAGCCTGGAGGCCGACGAGAGTGCTTCTGAGCATATGTAGACGGCCTTTTCCTCACTGTAGCCTGCCCCAACTGCTTGGTTTTGGAAACGAAGCTTTCAGGCCTACAGGCGTCACTTCTGGGTGTTAAGTAGGAGAGGGAGAGCCGTGGTTTTGGGCAGGCAGATGGTCTGTGGCTTGAGTGTCCTAAGCCCTCCTTACTGGAAGCAGCTATCCAAGAAATCTGGGCGACTGGGTTTAGGATTGGGTTGTTGAGCATCTCTCCCTCTCCCCCTCTCCCTCTCCCTCTCCCTCTCTCTCTCCCTCTCTCTCTCTTATATGGATTTAGGCTTCTCCCAATCAATGAATGTCTCCTCTGAAAGGGAGGAGCTGTGGCTCAGTGGCAGAGATGTAAAATTGCCAGAAATCTTGAAGCCACGGGGGTGAAGGTATTTTTTTTTGGGGGGGGGGGGGACACAGAAAATTAACAATGTAATGGGGATGGAGTTATTTTTCTGTTTTTTTGGGGAGTGAGTGGACACAGAATTAACAATGTAACATGTATAATTTATAATTCAGCGTATAAAGTTGTACTGCTTGCCGTATTTATGGAATTTAAATGTCTTCATTTTATTCAAGAAAAATTACTCTATAGGACAGGATGCTGGATTAGATGGACCACTGGTCTGGTCCAGTAAGGCTCTTCTTCTGTCCTTATTTTTTGCTGGTAATCTCAGTAATGTCTGAAAGTTCAGCAGTTCACCTTCATTCTGTGACAGGCCTTTTCTAGCAACTAAAGGGATCACAGAACCTCCAGTGATTTTGGGGAACCAGGTTTGTTTAAACTGTAAACCTTCCCTTCAGTTATCAGATGTTCCTGTGGTAGCCAGTGTCAAAGCTTTGGACTTGCTGCCATGAGGTAAGTTTTGTGATGAGCAAGTAGAACATGGAGATCACTGAGGCAGGAGTTGTATATTACAGACTGGTTTCAAAGAACAGATGAGAAGCACAAGTCACCAGGTAGTGAAAGGAGAAACCCACCTGAGGCGCATAATTTTAATCTAGTTATGGCTTCAGAGTGTGATTTGAACTTGCTTTATTGCTTTCAGGTGCAGACAGGCTTTTACTGACTAGCCAGTAGGCGGGTCCTTTCACACACATAGGATTCAACCCATACCAGCCTGCCCTTCCCAAGGGTCAGACAAGGTCTTTTCGTCATCGGAGATAGACCTAAGAACCAGGTATTCTGTTCTCTGCCAGAGGTAGAATTAAACCACTTCGTCATGCTGCCAGGCAGTCCTACCCTTAAACAGCCTGCTCTTTTGCTGAGGCAGACCTTAAATTGTCACTGCACTCCCCAAGAGGCAGATTTGAACTCTTCCTGCTGTACTTCCTTCCAACATTCTCCTCCCCCCCCCAATCCCCGAAAGGGGATTGGATACTGGAGCAGCCTTCCCATAGGCTGAGTGGCTGTTTTTCCCTTCAGGGGCCAGAGACACTCCTGTGCATCACAGTTGCCATTTCCAGTTAAAAGAATCAGGTGTGCAAGATGCTTTCTTGAGACCCTGGAGAGCCTCTGCTAGTCAGAGTAGACAGTAATGGCCTTGCTATACTGTTGGGGAAGGCAGCAAAACCCTACCTGTGTTCTCCCAGGTCATTTGCACATAGGATTGCAGCCAGTGCAGTTGTGCTTCAGGGCCATGGGAAGTCTCTCAGTGCTGACATTTTGTTTATTTCTTTATTTGATTTATACCCTGCCTCCCCACCAAAGCAGGCTCAGGGCAGCTACATATGTGCAGATTGAATCTGAAAGCTGATGGTGTGACACTTTTTCCCCACTCACAGAGTGCCTACCACCCTCAGCAGCTGCTGTCTCAGGTTCAGGATGTCACATTCGCCACCCTTCTTGTCTCTTTTAAAATATACAGAGAGCCATGACCATTTCACACCTCAGGTCCTCTCTCTCACTCCCAGACACATCCCCAGACAGGGTAGCCCAGCCCCCTTTAAGAACAGGCCCTCACACACTTTTCCATTCACATGCTGCCACCATTTATTTATATCCTATAGTATATGTTTAGACCAAGATATTAAATTGTGGGTGGGTGTTGCTTTCCCTTTAACATGCAGTAGAGCTAACTAAAACAAGTTAACTTTTATTTATGGTATGAGCATAACACTGAGGAAAGTAAGGCTTTGCTTTCATTGAACTTTTGAGTTGAGGTCCTATTCCTGCAGTTGGGGTCTTTTAGTTACAAGTTGACAGTTTTCAGCCTGCTCTAAGCAGCAGACAGTTTCCTTCCTCCCCCCCCCCAGCTCTAAGCTGCCAACCCCAGCCACTGTTCCCCAACCACATTATTCCTGTTTTTCAGCTTTCTCCCAACATTCCGTCAGTTCTCATTGGCTGCTCTTAGGGAGAAGTGGAACCTACCCTGTCCATCACAGATAGTTTACTCAGATAAGCTCAGTGAATTGAGCTAGAGTTTGAAGCCACATCTGGGACAACCAGCCCATATGAACATGGGTTCCCCAGTTATTTAAGTGTTCTTTTCATTGTATGCCTAGTGTAGGAATGCTGCCCTTGTACTGGCATTTGCTTTCTAACTTACTGATCTTCTGGGGAAAAATATCTGGTATGTTTGTTTACATTGTCAGTGCTGAAAGATTGAAGTTAAAGCCCTTTCCTGGGAATACCTCATTAGGTTTTTTAATTGATGTATCCAAACTATGGAGCATGTTAAGGTTGCACAGGCTTTGGCATACTCTATCAATTTACAGCTTCTGATACTCCTTAATAAGGAAGTCCAAAATACTTACTTATTAGATCTGCTCTGGGAATCATGTTAGTGGTTTGGTATGTTGTGGTGTATGTATTTCCCAAGTGAGAGAAACTGTGATTACTTCTGGTGTTAAGTTCTCTGAACAGTGTGACGTCCTTGCTTATTGGGGAGATGGTTTTACCTTTAAACACGCTTTGTGTACCTAAACTTGGTAGATTTCTGGTGCCACCAGGAATTAAACATTCCAAATCTCTCTCTCTGCTAGTAGAATGACTTAGGGTCTGGGCATTTCAAAGGACTATGTGGCCCTGAGGAAGAACTGTACTGATTGCTGGGATAAGCTTAAATAAAATTGATTTATTTAATAAAGAACAAAATATGTTTCTGGTTATTTTGAACTGTTACTGGGGAAAAAAGAACTTGTAAATATAACTGGCAAAACTTGGTGTTACAAACAGTCACTCAGATTTCACTCTGACAGGCATAGTCTCTCAGTATAATTTTTCTTTCTCATATCTATAGATATAGATAGACAAACAGGCTAATCTCCTTGTTTTATTCACCCAGAACAGAATCAGCTCTTATAGTCACTCAGGCTAAACTGTTTGCCTTATTCACACAGAATAGAAGCAAAATTCCATAGTCACACAGACCATGCTGTCTCTTCAAACTTCACACACAGAACTCTGTCATAAAACATCTCTCACACTCTCAGCCATCAGCCAATCACAGCACACTCATCTCCCCCTATCCCTCTCCTTACATTACTGCAGTCAAACTCAACATTTAAAGACACAGCCACCCAAAACATGGAATAATTACAAACGTCATCTAGACAACATGAGTGAGCATCCATTTACATACTTCTCTGCATGGAACTCTAAGCAGTTTCTTCTTGAGCGTTTAACAAGCTTGTCATCTTGTATGGCTAAGCCTCCCTGATCATGAAACCCTTTTGTCATCTGCAAGATTCATCTTTTAAGAAGTACCAATTTCTTTAGTGTATGCTCTGATTTTATGCTGTTTTACCAGAGTTCAAGTCCCACATTCTTGGGACTGATGTGTTTTTTCATGGCTCCTTTCAGAAGTTTCTGCTTCTAAGTTCAAGAAAGCTCCAAAGTTTACAGGTTCATCTCCATGTCCATCTTTACCATACAGCACTTTGTACAAGTGACAATAAAAGAAGAAAGTGTGCATCATATGGAATAAAGTGGAATAAATTGCATGACAGATTAAACAAAATGCAAGTTTCTAGTCTAGCGGTGCAGTACTTTTTGGAGTATCAGCTTGTGGAATGAAAGCTGTGGGGTCTCTCTGACTTCCAATATGAGCAGACCCTGAGCTGGCTTCAGATTCCTGCTTTAATCCTCAGATTAGTGCTTGGTTTCCATCTAGGTGAGAAATCTGTGTCATGACTATTCCATTTCAGACTGCACTGAGGTGGTGTGTTGCTGCATGACTGAACGTTTGCACATATCTTTGCACATAGATGAATGGTATTTTCTGGAGAAGGTTAGTTCTTCTTGACCATGTAGTTTTCTGTGTAGAGGAAACATCTTCATATATAGGAGTGTTCAGTGACATGAACCCCCACCTGTAATCTGAAGTGGTACAGCCCAGGCACAGGCTTATCACCTCAATGAGAACGAAGCCTAATTAAGCGTACTCTGCTGTGGTGGTTTATTTGGTTTTTTGTTCCTCCTTCAAGAGTTTCTGCTGTCAACTTTTACCAGACTAATTCAGGTGGCTGGCTGTGTTTAAGTGTGAAAAGACTGATCTTCGCAAGTGTTGTCTCTTCTCTTTCAGGAACTGGGAGTCTCACTGCCGCAGTTGAAACAGCATCTGGGCGCAAGGCGATGGTAGTTGGGAAGCCAAACACCTACATGTTTGAGTGCATTGTGGAGCGCTTTGGTGTGGATCCATCCCGCATGCTCATGGTGGGTGACCGACTGGAGACAGACATCCTGTTCGGCAAGAACTGTGGCCTCGATACGGTCTTGACCCTGACAGGTGTTTCACGCCTGGAGGAGGCACAAGCTTACATGGCCAGCGACAGCCCTGCTGCAAAGGACCTGGTGCCTCATTACTATGTGGACAGTATTGCAGACTTGATACCAGGCCTGGATGAGTAAGAGGGAATGTGGGTGGACAGAGGGTCCTAGTCCCTTTCCAGATTGCCACTCTTTCCTATTGAAGTCTCTCTCTCTCCCTCCCTCCTTGATTTTGGGTTTATCACATTCCAGTGTTTGTTGGGCAGGAATAGAGAAGGGTTACTTCCCCCTTTATTCTTGGAGGTCGTTCCATTTTCATTTTAACACGAAGTAAGGGAACAAGGGGTCATATGTAAAAAAAATATATTTCCGGACAAAGCCAATATTTATTTATTTATTTATTTATTCATTCATTCATTCATTTTGCCCTTCTCTTGGTGTAGTAGAGCTACATTATTTATTTGAATTATTTTTGTTGTTCTTTAGCCACTAGGGGCCTTTACCGTTGTCCTCTGCATTATTTTGAAGCACCACAGTGTGCTTTTTGTGGTATTTGTTGTTCTGAAGCTTTAATGAGGCAACATTTGTACCAGTGTTGTTTTTACTTAATCACGGCTGCCATTACATGCTAGTGTCAAAATTTCTTGTTCCAGGACTCTGGAAACATTAAAGGGGGACCATCAGAAAGCCAAGTCAGAAGTAACATTGCATCCCAAAATATTGGATCTTGGGATAATTCCTTTGGGGGACACTTTTTATCAAATCTGTATGGTTTGCTTAAAATTGATGCAAGTAGAGGCGAGCTGTTTCAGTGAGTCTGCTCTATGGCATAATTTCTAAGCAAGCTGCACATAGGACACATTCATACATTACAGTGTTTCTGTATGCATCCACAGGGATTGCTGTGAAAGGTCCTGCAAGGCTTGCATTCTCAGCTGGCTCAGTCAGATGCAACTCCAGGGTTGCTGAACTTGGGTTCTGTACAATTCATTAAACTGCGAATAAAATATGAATGAATGTTTTAATGTCATGTCATCTTGAGAGGTTTCTTAGGTAACAGAATTTTTATCACTCCTGTTTAATTTTGATATATTGGGAGAGGACTGCTATTGTAATGAAATAGTGAACTATTTTTGTGCCATAATGTTCTGAACTGGTTGTCACTACTTCTCAGTAATCTTCCAGCAATAGTTTCCAAACACTCTGACTACACAGAGGCAGAAATACATCCAGGTTTTTACCCCCCTTCCTTGACTGGGTAGACCAGTAAAACACTTCAGAAAATCATTTAGCTCCTGTCTGTTCCTGGTGTATGGTGAGGGATGAACCACTTGGTCCACTGTCTCTCTATCCTACTCCAGGGTGTTTGGTTTGTGGGATAGTGTTGGCATTTCCAGTTCTGTGAGTGTGCCACAGCCTCCAGAAATCAGTCCTTGCCGCTTGTCTTTTTGTTTAAAATGTATTTATTACAGTGTTTGTATAAATTATGCTGCTCAATTGTGCCAAGGTGTGAATGTAGCCTCTGAGCCTACTCACTACTTGTACCTCGTTGTTGTTGTTGTGGTTTTCTGACAGTTGCTGTCATTCTGCATATAATAAAGTACAGGCGTGAGATGGAACTGGGTTTCTCATTCGACTACTCAACCAATTGCTGTGCATTTCCTGAAATCAGATACAACCGTATGTATGAATAAATCGTTCAATCATCCTAACAAAAGTGATCCTGTTGAATAATGGGGGGAGGGGGTGTGTGTAGTAAAAACAAGACTACCAAGTAGACAGTACTGAACTTGCACATGGGCTCACATTACCCAACCCTAGTCCTGGGCAGCACTGGGGGTCTCTGGTCTCAAAAACGCATACAACGGCCTAAGCAATTTAACAGCTGAGAAGCTGAATTAAGGTTAATATGGAATGTTAGTGCAGTATTGTAAATGGTATGGCTGTCCTTTGTGTGGTAAAGGCCTTTCAAGGGTGATGTGTTTGCTCAGCTTGCAGGCCTTTACTTTTTGAAGGCAGGATACAGTGCTTCCCAGTGCAGTAGTCAAATGCTCCTCTAACATTAAACCAGGCTGTGAAGTGGGATAGGAGGGTGTGAACATGCAGCACTTGAAGAGGAGAGTGAGTTCTGCATTGTCATTCATCTTTTGTGTGGTGACTGTTGAACTCTGCAGCTTTGGTGAAAGCAGTAGCAGGGTGCTTTGGACAAAGAAATATAGAACTGGATGATGTTGGCATACTGATGACAGCCAGCTCCAAACTCATGAATGATTTCCTCAAAGGGCTTTTACATAGAAGTTAAATAGCATGAGGGATAAAACTGAGCATTGGGGAACTGCACAGGACAGGTCCCACATTGACAGTTGCTCGTCCTGATCTTTTATATCACTTCACACAATGGCCTCCAGTCTCTGTATCTGAAACTACTTTGTTAATATCACAATTGAAATCTGGGAAAGCCCCAGGAGGTGACTTTATAGTTGCTGAGCTTTTAAAATCACACATAGATTGGTGGGCTCGTGTCTTAGCAAATCTTTTCTCTTATGTAAGCCAGCTGGGAGGGTAGGGTAAAAATATAATAAAAATAAATATAGATGCCTCAACTCAGATTCCTTAAGACTGGGGCTTGGCTATAATTGTTCCTTTATTTAAAAAGGGTCGCCACTATGACCCAGCGAACTACAGACCAATTAGTCTTCTGAATGTGATCTGTAAGTTATATACTCAACATCTCTGTCAGAAGCTGTGTGAATGGCTAGATTATAGCAACTTACTTGAAACTCAACAAGCTGGTTTCACACCAGGTCGCACTACTATCAATCATTGCTCGGTCCTAGATTATTTTATTTTTGAATATGTGAAACATCGGAAGAAAACCTTGTATGCAGTCTTCGTGGACCTCAAGGCGGCCTTTGATTCTGTCTCTAGGGGAAGGCTTTGGGCCAGATTGACTGACATGGGTATCAATAGAAGGCTACTGCTTCTATTAATTAACCTGCACGAAAATAATAACATCCAAATAAGACTCACACAAGATGGGAAACTATCGGAAAGAATTCCAGTGCAAAAAGGAGTCAGACAAGGTTGCCTTCTGGCTCCCTTTTTATTTAACATCTATATTAACTCTTTAATCACATGCCTTCATTCAGTTGATACACATGCGCCCTCATTCTCAGGCACCAGAAAGGTTCCAATTTTAATGTATGCTGATGATGATGTTCTTTTATCCCAGATAAGGATTGGCCTGAAGCGAGCCCTGGTAAAATTTAAAGAGCAATGTGACACCGAATTATTAACTATTAACTTTGCTAAAACTAAAATTGTCCATTTTGGTAACTCATTCAGGAAGTTCAGTTGGAATATTAAAGAAAATGCCATAGATCAAGTTAAGAACGCTCAGTACTTAGGCATTACCTTTTGTTATAATTCCAAATTCTGAGCACATCTGTCCTCATCAGCTAACTTGGCAGAGAAAAGTGCAAATGCCATTCTTAGATTATTTAGAAGGAAAGATACAGGTTTTCTCCCCATGGCCTTAAAAACCTTCCAATATTAATGTATACAAAAACAAATATGGTCACAGTCCATAGACATGCAAAAATAGAACCACAAGAACTGTACACAGTGCGCTCAATATTTCTTTAACGAAAACCGTAAAGTTATAAATATGAAATGTACAAAAGTGATAATAATACATTCAAATGTGTAAGTTCAGAGACATAAAGACAGAACATGACAACGACGGGACGGTCTCTGGAATGCGATGCCGTTTCAACAAATGTCTTCTTCTAACCAAGAATCTATAAGCTTATAAATAATATAATATATATGTCAACATCAATACTTGCATCTTGGTAATTGTACATGAAAATAACATAGAATTGATGCAAAGCCTTGATGATGTATGAAAAATTGCACTTCAATGGAAAAGCTGCCCAATTCACATGGAGTTCAATAGTTTCTAAAAAATATAGCAAAGCAATGAAACCAGACTGGATAGCTAAGTATAATTGTATAGAACCAAAGCGTATGTGAGAAAGAAAATGTTCAAACCTACTTACCACCTATTTCATTGCATAAGTAATGGAGAAGAACATCTCTCAAACAGAATAAAGCTTATGTGTTAACCAGGTGTTGGTGGTTCCTAACATATTGAGTTCACACAATCATGGATAGCTCCAGAATCAACTTACATAAAAACTGAACAATGGCTGAGTGTCCTAACACTGAAACACTAAAGAATAGGATTTATAGAAAACAACTCAGATCTAAAGATGCATTCAGACCATATGCATGTATGGTGTTTAGTCTGTATATCCAGAATGCTTCTCTCTTCAAAAGGACCTTACGTATATCTTTTCTGTCATATTTATTAGATTTAATGACTTCTAGAAGTACAAATTTAAAGTCATCATATCTATGTCTTTTAGAAACAAAATGGTCTACGAGGGAAGCTTCCAGATGTGCATTTTTAATTTTGGATTTATGATCTAATATGCAAGTTTTAATCGCTCTCATTGATTCTCCAATATACCTCGACCCACACGGACAGACCACCATGTAAATTGTGCGCTTAGTCGCACATGAGGAATAGCTCTTAAGTACCAACTTAAAATTGATATCAGAAAATTCAATGCATTTGGTCTCCCAACTTAATGGACATGCTGCACATCTAAGGCATCTGAAATGTCCATTAGGACTGTTATCAATATTAACATCCACCTTTAGGTCTGCGTGGACCAACAAATCCTTAATGGTAGAAGTTTTCCTAAACCCTATAAAGGGTTTGTTGTTACATCCTGGCACATCACTTAAAATGTGCCAATGTTTAAGGACAACCTTCTTAATGGAATATGCCAGTGAAGTGTAGTCAATAGCTAAATTTATGTTCTGGCTAGATGAAGTGTGTATCTCTTTAAATAAGTCCTGTCTGGCTTTCTTATCAGCTCTTTGGCGTGCTGAAGTCACTATGTGTGAAGGGTAACCTCTCTCTAGGAAATCCTTTTGCATTTTACTGGCTTCTACATTGTAATCTTGCTCTAAAGTAGAGTTCCTTTTTAATCTAAGAAATTGTCCATAGGGAATATTGTTTCTAACATGTGCTGCATGCGAAGAGGTGAAGTGCAAGTAAGAGACTTTATCTATTTCCTTTGTACTGCCAGTTTACCTTCATGGACAAAGACAGAAGTATCAAGAAAGTGTACCTGTTGTTTGTCACTTGTTGCAGTAAATTTAATGGAATGGTGTATGGAATTTATCCATTCTATAAATTCAAAAGCAATGTTTTCAGAGTCTAAGATAAGGAACATCTTTTATACATAATGATGTGTGCAAAGTAAGGGTTCCATCTAAATTCCTTAGATCTCTATTTGGCGTTCCTAGAAGCATTTCTAATGTAACACTTAGGCAAGAGGCTGGGCTACTCAGAGTTGAAACAAAGGTCTGGGAGCAGGTTATAACACTTTGGCTAAAAATTCATTACAACCCGAAGGGTTTAACACCTTTTAGCCTCGGACCCTTACCCTGTCTGGTCCACACAAATTCTTAATAAATTAAATCAGATTGGCTTATTCCCAGAAGATCTCTTCTATGGAAGCCCATACAAGGCAAGAACAGCTGTTGCACAGAGGCTTCGTGACATTGAATTACAAAATAAAGAAGCGTCACTACCCAAGAAATTCAGAAATCTAAAATCTTGGCCTAATTTTACTGCTGCCCCATATTTATTTAACATTACCTATGAGCCCTATAGGTGGGCCTTTTCCAGAGCCCATTTTGAGGCACTCCCTTCTGCTGTATTGCAAGGTAAATTCACTCGAGTTCCAATGCATGAACGTATATGCCCATGCATGGCTAATATGGTGGAATCAATTACTCATGTCCTCCTGTTCTGCAGATTCTATCAGGAGGAACGAGATCGTCTTATACTACCCCTTCTGTCTAGATTTAGTCCTCTGCAGTCTTATCTTGATTTTAGGCCAGAAGTCCTTCGTAAATTCCTCCTAGAAGATGTTCAGAGTTCAGTGACTTACACTGTGGCAAAATTTTGTTTCTTAGCTATTAGGAAACGTAAACTTATTTTAGCTGAAAAAATTGTATGCTTCTCTTATTTTATTTTACTAATTATATTAATTTTCTCTTGTTAATGTTTTTATACTATTGCTATGTTATTACTGTTTCAATTTCTTATATCAGACTTGTACTGTTTTACTGGCTCTTGCTGTAATAAATTAGATCAGATCAGACAATTGGTCTGCAGCAGCAACTCTCTTAGTCAGGCCCATAAGGAATGATTTCAATCCAAGTGTATCCTTTGATACCCACTTCTGACTCCAGTTGTCCAGACAAGATGGCACCATCCCCTGTATTAAAGACAGCAGATGAATCCAATAACAAGGAGGCATTTGCTTTCTCTTTGTACTTCTGGTGGAAGGAAATATAGAAAACACCTGTGCTCAGTCCTTTCATCACTGCTGTGGAAGCTCCATAAAGGTTCCTCTCGCCCAGCCTTGGAATCCAGGCAGGCTTTGACTTTTGTGTTTTAATTGCAAAACTCCCACTAGTTCGTTTTGAATCTCCGCTTCAGCGGGGCAGTAAAATTGTTTGCTTACAGAGACTCACTGCTCATATTTAATGTAT